GTGATCAATATTCTATTAACCTTATTAGTGCAACGACATTACCAAACATTTAAATGAGCGTTCGTTGATCAGACATCGTTGTAGAGTTGAGGAATGTTTTTACTCTCTGCAAACAGCGCTCTGGCACTTGACAAATGTTCATGTGGTCGTGGGTGTCTTGCCGTTTTGCAAAATTCCACGCACTCTTGGGATATTATTCCGTGCATGCTTTTATTGAATAGCAAGAAAATGGGCGGTTTTTAACACTAAATTTGGTCGGCACATAACTCCTCAGATGAAACACCATTAAAGGCTCTTGCGATGATGGCGAAAAAATATGAAACAATGGATGCTAGTTGGCAAAGAAATCTCTGGAAGTGAGGTCTGTGGCCTCACAATACCACTACTTTTTTGCGCAGTTGGAGAGGTTGGGAGATGAACGGTCCAAGAGACACTGGGTGGCGAGGTGAGAGAACGAGAGAAGGAGACGAGAGAGCCAGCGGGGGACTAGACAGTAGACATCGCAATGGTGGGAGTGCCATTGGCTGAGGTGGCCATATTTGTAATCTATAGACCCCTATCAACCTGATCACGTGTTTGAGTCGCAAGGAGGGATATCTTCGTGGGTATGGACCCAGCTAATTTATTTGCGGGAGGAACTCGGAGCCATGTAAGAGCCCTGGATTAGGTATTTCAGGCTCCTAAAATGATGAGAAGGTCGGAACTTTCATGTAGTATAAACTTTTATTCGTCGATAGTCTACAAACTTTCCGAGTTTCATCTGTCTCTCTTTTTTCGATTAATTCTATTGTTCTAGGGTGAGCTGCTAACCTTGGTGCCAAAGCGATCGCGATGTGCCGTTTCAATGCGTGCCGATGACACGGATAAATGGGGCAATGATACACTCGATCAACGTGAGGACTATCAGCTTGTGCTTAAAGATTCTTCGATCAAGGTAGGAACATTTATTGTGGAGGTGTTGGAACTTTCATGTCAAAATTTACAGTTTCTAACTGTTTTTTTTAGGACGAATTGCTGAATCGCCTGAATACGTTCAGATGCAACAGGGAGCTCTGCGATATTGTTCTTTTTGTTAGGTAATACTTACTTTTTTCATCGGATAATTTTCATGCTGAAGATTCTAGGTTACATTTTTCCAGGGAGAAGGAAATTTTTGCTCACAAGGTCGTACTGGCTGCCGTGTCGCCTGCTCTCTTTGATATGTTCTTGAGAGACAACGAGGACGAGAACAGTTGTAATTTTTACCATTTCTGTTTTTTAGCCTTTGGGTTTATATAATAGTTAGAACTTGAAATGTACTGCTGATTAGTGAACATTAGAAACTGTTTTCAGCGAGCCCTAATGAACATACGGAGAATGGTCACGAAGCTGGTCAACAATTCACCACTACGCTAACTGTCGCACCCTCGACTAAAAAACCAATGGCGTATTTTGACTTCACCCAGACAGATTACGAATGCTTCGAAGCGCTTGTCAACTTTGCTTATACCGCATGGTAAGCTTTTTTAGTTGTGCTTAGGTGCTTAGTAATAGGTATAGCAGCATAAGGTAACTTTCTTCCAGTACTAGAAAGTGTATGAAACACGAAAATGTAGATATAAGAACAAGTTCAGTCCTTGTTTGCGAAACTGTTCAAGTTGATGGTTTTCAGTCTGGAAATAAGCTCGAAAAAAGTAGCTGAACTTTACAAGACAGCATTTGCCCTTCAAATGACTCCAGTTGTCAAGGCATGCGCACATTTTCTTGCGGATAACCTTAGTTTGAAAAATTGCATCGGTAAGTTAAGTCTTCGATTGACGAGTTTTTCTTGCTGGATCAATGTAATTGTTTTCTCCAATATCTGATTTCCAGGGATTCGGCGGCAAGCAAATTTCAACGATGACAAATATTTGCTGAGCAAAGTAGATGCTTTCATTCAAGAAAACTTTGAGAAAATTGTGAACGACAGCGTAGAATTTACTCAGTTACCCTGTATTAAGGTAATTAATTTATCGTTCATAGTTTTCATGTCATTACAGAAACAATTTTGACTTAGCCTACTCTTTCTTGGAAGATAATTTGTTGTCTTTCCATAATCTTCCTTCTCTATAAGCCACATTGACTTTTTGAGTTTTGCAGTTCTCCTGCATCATCTTACAGCAGGTCTCGTTGCAGCTGACAATTCCCTCCAATTTCAGACTCGAATTATTGTACCGAAGGATGACGGTCGACGACCTGCTAGCCTTGAAAAGGGTGCCTTACTCGCCCAAAGTGCTCTTGATTATTTCAACCGTATACCTCATGACAGAGTAGAGCACTCTATTGAAAAGCTCATACACAAGGTCAGTGACATTTCAGCAGAGGCTTTCAATAGGCACATTCAATAGTAATGTGTTTGATACCTTTTTATATTCGTTTTAGTTTTCGAAGAAGCCTTATCAGATAAATCTTAGATTCCCGATAAACATTGTTAGAGACTTCTCAAGTGAAACCCTGAGAACGTCGGAGTCTCGCGCTTGGCTTTTTTCACGTAATTGCCTGGCGACTAATCTAGGAAGCCAAGGATTTTACTTCCTCCATATAATGCTAGCAAGGATTCGCAGGGGAAGTGGTGCTGCTGTTTGCATTGAGCGAAGCTTTCAGTTCAAGCAGCAGTTCTCCAGTGGTAAGAAATGCTGGACTGAGCTTTCCAAGCGTGGTAGAAATAGTGTAAAGCGTCATTGTTTTGCCTTCGACGGTAGTTAAGTAACTATTGTTTTCTTTGGTTCCTGTCAGGTGGAGAAACAAAGAGACCTTCCATTTCATTGGTGCTTTTTCAGACTTCATTACTTTATATGGAGGACGACCAAAGACTTACGGATTGTGCGGATATCGATGACAAATCTTCCGTGGGAAGCTGCGATATAATCCAAGATTATAAGAGAAGCGGCAAGGAGGTGGCGAAAGCAATGACGAAGTAAGTGTGCTTTGCATCGACTATGGGACTGTATTTTGCAGAATGTGCAGTAGGCATTACTGGCAAATAATTCATTTTATGGGGATTACCTGTACGGGCGAACAAGGATATTTCAAAAAAATTCCTCTTGTCCCTTCATTCTCCGCTCCCTCTTCCCCACTACCTTGTCGTGGGGAATGAAGCGTATAGCTCTGTCTATGAATTTTAAAAATTTGCATGGATTTCTTTTTATTGCAAAGAAACCTCCATCTTTCCAGTGGTGCCATGGATTCATCGTTCACAGCTCCTGTCCAGCACCGTGTCACCGGAGCAGTACCGGTGCGGTTGAATGCGAGTCTTGTGCCCAATGTGCGCTACTCCTCTACAGAAAGTCTCAATTCATTGGATTCTGCCGAAAGTGACCCGCAAGATACAATTGAAACCCGCCTCATCGCAACACATCAAACATCACGTAAGCAGTGGTTCACACTTGAAAACGTTTTAAGTTTGTAGCTCAGTGGGTTCAGCTCTTGAATTTTAGCCGACTACTGGGTTGCTCTAGCGGTTTTGTACCGTCGACTTGTCGTACTCAGTATTCAGCTAACTGATGATGAAGATATAACAAAAAACAAGTCGTCTAAGTGAGTATTACCTTGTGTTTTTTTTCTTGCGGAGGATGTGAAACAAAAATCAATTCCATTCTGTTTAGCGGTAATAGTATGGATCCACAAAAGAATGTGCTGCTCTCTCGCTTGATCTCGTGTACCGGTAGTCAACGTCGACCGCTTGCCACTATGAATGGAGCTCGCTGCTCAATTGGAGCCTCGTTCCTCAACGGGAAAATAATTGTTTGCGGTGAGCTCAATTTACTAAGTAGTTCACATCTTTGACACTTGGTCTTCTTACTTCCTTGTAAAGTTATTGCTAATTGTTGTTAGGCGGTTATGATAGAGGAGAATGTCTACGCTCAGTAGAGGAATACGACGTCGTTCGTGGTGAATGGAAGCAGTTGCCATCTATGAATGGTGAGAGAGGCCGATTCGACAGTGCAGTTCTTAACGGAAAGGTCAGTGAAATGTGTTTTTCTTTTTTTGTCTCGCGCTTTCTTGGGGCATAAATATTTTGTTCGCGTCTTTGGAGGGCATTACAAGCGCTTGGAGCAACTAGGAATCTTTTGAGGTCTGTAATTTCGTTTTTCCTAAAAATTCCCAGCTCTTTTAGATATACGCAGTGGCTGGAAGTAATGGTAATCATGATCTGAAAACAGCTGAAGTCTACAACCCAAAGCTCAACCAATGGTCCGCGATTCCTTCCCTCAATAAAGCAAGAAGCCACAACGGTACTAGTCAATTCTGAAGGAACTTACATTTTTGTTCTTCTCGGAGTATTTCAAGCGTTTTGAAGGGTGTGCTGCTCTCGACGGTTTTCTATATTGCGTTGGTGGATCACTAGATCAGCAAGTTTTGAAGGATTGTGAAAGATTTGACGAATCACGACAGGTTTGTTTTTGCTACTGCTATAACTGATCGATGACTTACTGTTATAAGGCCTATCTGTAGTACAGAACCGTCTCTGAAGCTATGAAGTAGTTATTTTCAGTCAATGGTGCAACAATGTGTTCACTTTCCAGGTCTGGGAACCAATTGCTTCTATGGAACTGGCACGCTTCCAAGCAGGAGTTATCGCTTGGCGCGGTTTAGTTGTTGCATGCGGTGGATGTGACCGGTATGATGCTCACTTGGATATTTGGTATCACCTTAAATTTTATAAGGCTCGATATTTCAGGTGGAACTGCATGGATTCTGTTGAAGCTTACGACCCGAAAACTAACAAGTGGCGAATGTTGGCCAAAATGCGAACCGCTCGACGGGGATGTGCCGTGGCTGTAATTCGAGGTAGGTCTTGTGTCAGCACATCTTCCCCTCACTCTTCCATGTGTGTACAGGATTGACTTTCTCCCTGATCTTGTCTCAATTCTTTGTCAGTGGATGACGACATTATCGAGCATTCCTTCGAAGATGAGGAAAACTTTAGGCTATCAGTTTTTTGGAAAGGTTGAATTTAAATCAGAACGGGCGGCAATAAAATTTCTTGAGTGGGTATGATGCTGAACGGGTCCCAATCAGTACTCGAGAATGTCGTTGTCTATCGATTTTTATCCTCCAAATGTACGGACATTTGCATCGTGCATATCTATGAATACTAATAAATATTAAAACTTACATACAGTTTTATTATGGATAGTTTTCATATTCTGTTTCCTTCTGTTCTTTTTACTTTAGATTACCTAGAGGTTCTGCTTTGAGTTTGGTGTTAGACACTTTGATGTTTTACAAATTATTGATTACACTAAGTAGTAATGATTCTTAGCTGATTGTTGTTGAAGTGTTGTCAAATAGTTTTCCATTATTATCAAATTATTTGCTTTAGTGCACTCATGTATTGCCTCTGTTTTCTTCCCCCTTATTAGTTTAGCTTCTCTTGTCTTTTCTTTATCTTACCGTAAGACTAATAATGTAAATCGAGTTCACTGGCCATTACAGTATTTTTTTTATCTAAACTAATCCTGTTACGATGCTTCATTCTAATTAATTAATTATAACGCTGCATCATTTGCAAATGGTCTCCTACAGACACGCTGTACGTGATCGGTGGACACGACGGGCAACAGTCGCTCTCATCTGTTGAAGTGCTCGAGCATCCGGCCGCCTCATGGCGTCCCGGACCTCCCCTCACCACGCCTAGGTACCATATACTGTAATCAAATCTCACTTTCCAGAGAGATTGTAGTTACAGTTGGTGTCGCCCACACAGTGCTTTAAGTAGTTACATACTCAGTCAAAAAACAGTTTTGAAAGACTCTTCATTATTAAGTGTACGGCGACGTTATTCCTAGTCAAAAAGCCACGTAATTTTGCAGACAAGTTTGAAGTCCTGAATTAGGAGACTTAATTGGACTAAAAAGTGAAGTATCATCAAGTTAAAAGTGTAACAGAAGCAAAAACTTAATGACTGGTATTTGAATTGGTGTTAACTAATTCAAATTTTTTAGGGCAAATACGCATGCGGTAGTAACGGCTGGTAACGTGATCTACGCTATTGGCGGATTCAATGGAAATCAGTTTTTGAATTCGATCGAACTGATGGATAGTGGTAAGTTTCTAAGTCGATCATTGGCATTTAGAATGAACTGTGACGTATGTATGTCAGGCCGGTGTCAGACTTTGCGAGTCGAGCGATTCGTTAGCGTCAGCGGTCACGTCGCGGTCAGCGAGTCGCCGAATTGGCTGGTAGCCGTAATTAAGACTGCGGAACGTCAGCGATCGGCTCAATTCGCAACCTCATGTGTCGTTACAACTTGGTTCAGAAGGTTTTTCTTTATCACAAAAACTTACTGCGATTCTCTTCGAAAACAGGTTTAGATTAATGAACACTCTTTGCCATATTTTCTCTGATTATCCTTCATTCTCTTCTTCACTTCTATCAGTCAAGACCGTTGTAAGGCCGCGTTCATAGTTCGCGACTCGGGAGATTAGGATAGTGCGCGACAATGCAAGAGATACGTATTGACGGGGAGAATAGGATAGTAGTAGATTGGGAGAGTAGTAGAGTAGTAGATTGCGATATCACGATAGTAGGACAGTAGTAGAGTAGGAGATTAGGATAGTAGTAGATTAGGATAGTGCGCTGACAAGATTAGATATGTATTGATCTATTCGCTTGAAGTCGCCCAATCTACTACTCTCCAGCGATTTCAATCGATACGTATCCAATCTTGTCAGCGCAATCTCCTACTCTACTACTATCCTAATATCCTGTCGCCTACTATCCCGAGTCGCGACTAAGAATGCGACCTAAGCGTTGCTCATTCTCTGACCTGCCAGTTCATATATTTTTTTTCGAATCCTACATTTGCCTGTTTGGTTATCATCTGTGAATAAAAAAGACCACTGAGCAAGCGAAACACGTTTTTTTTTTGTGTGACATCTCATGTCCCACGTGTGGTGTGCAGCGTTCTGGACCTCAACACCCCAGAGTAAATTGCTGGGGTAACAGTGATCGATCATGGAAGTATGGATACCGAGTTGACTGAAAATGAGAAAACGTAAAAGAATCCGCCTACAAAACTTTCAACCAGGACTCTTTCCGCACACATTTTGAGAAGGACCGTGCCCTACGAGTATTACGCACAGCGGGTCAGTGTTGTTGGCTGTACTATAATGAATATGTCGGATATCTTATCCACACGTTCCGAAATCCACGTTACGTCGCATCTCCAGCTACCAATAAGACGACAAAGCGATAACCGGGCTCGAACGGGTTTATCCATTGTCTCATATGCGCGAAGATTGAAAGAATTACCGTACGCAAGACATTGCCAATTTGAAGTACGCCTTCACTCTTCGCTTTTGTGCTCTGCAAGCAACACTTCATTCTTCTCAGCGAGCCGACATCCATCTTTCAATGATAGTAGCAATGTGTAAGTAACCCATCGGGCTGTTGCGTCAGTATATATCCTTGCACCCAAGTTAACCAGCACTTTGGGCAAGACGCACGACGGCTCTCACTGATACATCAAAAGTCTGGGTCTCGATTTGCGGAATCTCCAGAATTTTCCTGTCTAGAGTACTTTCCCCGGGCTTTCTTCAATCTTTTACTGTTAATTTTGACCGCACTTGATGTACCTATATGTCCCGCTAAATACCAGACGGAATGAGCATCTGGATCGATCATCTCTGAACATTTGACTCTTTGGTAATTAGTCATTAACGAATACAGTGCAGTTGATATCCTTTCTTCACTTTTTATGATCTTTCGTTCCAAAGCCTATGATAAAATTTGATTTTCATTTAGAACTGGTTGGATGGCGTAATTGGCAGTTGGTGTCGGATCCTGTCCATTGACAGAGCGGAAGAAAAAATCGAGTCCGAATCTCCATTGTCATCATTCACCGGAATCAATGAAAATCACTTGAAACCGCCGGTACGAAAAAGGTCACCTTAAACGAGCTCAATTGTCTTAGCTCTTACTACATTATGAATGGTGCGCCTAACCGTACTTGCTGTGGTTGTATGTACAATATGTCCCATATTTCATTGTTTTCCTTTCAGTACAGAGCGTTTGTGATTCTTTTATCAGGTAATAATTTATGACTTGACTATTGCTGGTAGTTCTTTTCGTTATTCGGTACCTGTAACGTTTGAGTCGTGCATTTCGAGAACAACGTGGTGTATTGAGCGTCGCGTGCGACGTTGCGTTTTCCTCATTTAAATCGAAATGTATGTACATATACTCATCATCCTTTTTATTGTTATAATAATGAAAGGATTCATAAAGGTTATCCTTTTTTCTTTGCCTAATCTCACGCAAGTGTTATCAACAGGGAGGATATCTTATAATTAATCCTTCTTGTTATTTGAAATTGTGACCATGGTTTGAGTAAGAGCCTGAGCTAGTGACTTCTTCGACAAAGAGCTGCACACAGCATGAACATACAGATAGTGTGAATAGTCATTGTAATATATCGATGGTAAATTGAAGTGAGGCAGTTAACCCGACACCTGACTGGCGAAGGAGGGGTAGGGGGGGGGGGGGGCGAACGTGTTCTGGTCGTGGCAGGATCGACGTTATATATTATATATTAGATGCCGCGTTCGTACGGAAATGACCCATATCGATTTAGGTAAGGGTCTTTATATAAACTGCCGTGGTTCGTGTAACGAACGTTTAAAACGAAGAATTTGAAAGAGGTCCAGTGCTATAGTCCAGTTCTTACTCATTTCTCTCCGCCTTGCTTCACTTCCCTAGTGTAAGAACCAAAGGCAGTACGTGGAGTTACCTCAATAAAATAATTACTTCAAGCGCAAAATTGCAAGGGAGCCCAATTTCCTGCCAATTTTGACGTTCTCTTCAATGCATCAGGTATTGAGTTATACAGTACATTGTGATGGGGGGGGGGGGGCGGGAAAGGTGCCGCCCCCCAAGGATGTCTAAGGTTGTCCTCTATTGAGTTGCACCCCCTTCCTTATTTTAAGTTCATTTTGAGGGACGTTGTAGTGCTGCCACAGGCGGCGAAGGTATATTCTGTGTACTTCAAGCGGAAAAGTCTCGTTGTGCAGGGTCAACCGTCACGTTCGAACATTTTCAGGGTTTTTGCGACCCCCTTTTCTCAAGGGGGTCACCCCCTTATCTCAAGGGGGTCCAGTTGCGACCCCCTCTTAGGTAATGGAAGTGCCGAATGTGCTGACTAAATGTTAAGTGAAATATTTATTTCACTCATTTTACTTCAAAGACAGTGAACTAAAACCTTTTAAAGACAATGAACTTCCATGACATAGAACAAAACATTTGAATATTGAATTCTTCACTGGCATTTGAATTGAATTGTTTTCAAAAAATCATTGAATTTCTGAAAAAAATTCAATATTTTTTTCATGTTGCCCAAAACTTCAAACTTCATGCTTCCGAAAGAATCACAAGAGCAGTTCAAGGGAGTAAATCAAAGAGAGTTACGTTCTCCATCAATGCATCTCCTAAGATGAGCCCCAAAGGAGCAAGAATCACAGGGCACTGGCTAATGAAAGCTATTTTTTATGGTTAGCCTCGCGAGATCAAAATTTTTGTTCGCTCACAATCACGCCAAAATGAGGATGAAAGCGAAATGTGTAAGACCAAATGGAGGGATATCCAACAAGTAACATGAAGACTGACGAACTTCTGCTCAAACAGCTGAAAAAAGAGGAAGGATTAAAGAAGAGTAGGACTGACATGATTGCGTCAGAAACCGCCGCAGAAAGCGTTTGCGTTGCGGCGTCAACCTTGGAGCGCGGCAGGTATCACCCGGACGCTGGAAAAACTGGGACGCGGCGAAGAAAAAGTTTTAGGAGAGTGTAACTTTCTTGAGACGTATTTGTTTCACTTATTGAGGTAGGTTTAAACTGTGCCTGAGGTGGCTTTACAGAAAATTGCAAGGATGACCTAACTCTCCCAAAAGTATTTCTGTCAGAAGCGGAAAACCCAAAATTCTGAGAAGGCGCACCTCCAACTTTGAGAGCTCATAAAATCTTTCGTATGCGACATCTTGGAAATTTGTGAAAAGTTTTAGAAACTTCAAATATTTCTCTAACAAAAGATTATAAAAAGTTAAGTGATTGTCCCCTTTTTCAAAAATTTGCCCCGTTCGAACAGTTCCCGTGCAAAACCGAGTTTTTAAGCTTTCAGCGACTATAACTCACTTCATTTTGATTGCTGTGTTTCCCTCTTTCCATGGGGTGAAAGAGCAGGTTTTGCTCTTTCTAATAAGCCCTAAACCATTTTTCAAAGTTCATTTTTCGAGAAAATCCCACGTTCGAACATTTCGGGCGGTTTTGCCGAACACATTCTTTGAAATCGCGAGTTTTTGGGCTTTCAACGAGCATAACTCGCTTCATTTTGATTGCTGCGTTTCCCTCTTTCCATGGGGTGAAAGAGCAGAATTTGCTCTTTCTAACAAGCCCTAAACCATTTTTCAAAGTTCATTTTTCGAGAAAATCCCACGTTCGAACATTTGGATCCCATAGGTTTTTGAGCAGCACATGCGAGTTTTCGAGCTTTCAGCAATAATAACTTCCTTCAAAGAGCATGTTGGAAAGAGGCGAAGACATTTTTGAAGACCGCGAGGTTTCTTCTTTCTTATGTGTTTCACGATTTTGTGGAAGAACCGTCCGTAGAAAAGTAGGTTCCCGAAGAAGTTCAATTTCAGCCACAAGAAGTCAAACTTTTCATGGAGATGCATTCAACTGTTCTCTATTCCTCAAGGAAAACACCGTAATTTGCCCAAAACTGTCTCTTGTGCATAATTAATCGAATCTAATGCGGTCTGCACAAACAATTCTTGCCCTCGGATACGCCACGCACGCGCCTGTGGCTGGCAGTCCTCGAAATTGCGACCCCCTTCCGACCAAAATGCGACCCCTTCGTTCGAACAGTTCGAACGGACGGTTGACCCTGCCGTCGTTGTCGTGGTTACTTAGTCTGTGATGACTTACTTTTTATCTCCATAAGGCAGATCTAGTGTGCTTCATCTCCAACAATATTTTCTTCTTCTTCTCAGAGAATGATATTTCTCTCAAATTTTACGGTAGCTCCTAGTAGAACACGAATTCCAAATTGAGAGCAATCGGCATGCAGCCGTTGTCGATGGTCTTGACTTATCCTGTTACAACGACACAGTATATATCTTTTATATCTTCCCTTCTTGCGGTTGATCGCAACATCGGAATAAGCCAACAGATTGTCATTCTCAACGGTTTTGAGCGAATCATTTCCACTTCAAGCACAGGGCTTTTGATGCATCTGTTTATAATTCTTGCTCAGTAGTTCAACAAGGCGACTGATGCCAATTTGACTCACAACCAGACTCCATGCGTAGGAAGTGCCCGTAAAAGAACAATAGTCACGGTGCCGGAAACAGCAGGGGATCGGAGCTCCGGTCAGCTATTTCAAGAACGTTCATGAAGATATCTCATTCATCTCGCAACCCTCATTAGCTTGACTTCACTTCAGTTTTGAAGCATGCACTGTTCATGGAGGACTTTTTTTTTCCAAAGCAACCAGGTTTCGTTATTACAGTTAACCTCTTTCTATCTGGCTTTGTTTTCGTAGCTTGATGACTTCTTATTAATTTCTTTTTCCCTCTGAGGTCTATGCTCTAGACCGGCCGGTTCTGCAAGTAAATAAATAAATAACCTACATAATATCATAAATATAAATAATTATCATTATAAGAGGTCGTCACATTGAATTGTATTGAGAAAGGCTGAAATTGAATTTGAACCTATATGACCCTCCCGCTCAACAAGTACTGAAGCATGTGTGCACGTAATCCAGTTTTGCTTAAAGCAACAGTTCAGGGAGGGTCCGAAAATTTCAATGCCACTACTACTGAGGGATACACGAGCCCTAGTGAAGAACATATGCAGTGGAAATAATAAACGAACTTACCTCAGAAACTCAAAACAGGGTGGAAAGTCCCTCAAACATGGGTGTTCTTGGGGATTTCCCCAATCCCGCCCCCTTGCCGGCCGTCATTGGACGCGTCGGCAATCGTGCTCGTTTTGGGACCACAGGGAAAATTGATTGAAAAATGGAGCGCGTTTACAGCGGGCACGTTCAGACAACTCGTCCAACGTGCGTCTTTATCCATTGCTGAGCGGCAGAGGGAGAGTACCTGTCTAAGACCCTCCCCGACGTTTTTTTCCAGTTTTTCATACATTAATCGTCTGGTTTTCATCTACAACTTCATTATTGGTGGTTTTTTCCCGCGAAACCGTTCCTGAACTGTTGCTTTAAGTATTCCAACTTCGAGGAAGAAGCTTCAGGGTGGGTGCAGAACCGGAAGCGGAATGTTTCATGTACCACGGGGAGTTCCTCCCCGTGCAAAAATTGAACTTTGTGTAGATGCAGCAAGTTGCTCCCTGACTGGATGAGGCTCGACCTGCACTCAAGTGATCATTGCGAAAATTGAAAAGAACATGGTCTCAGAGAAGATAATCATTCTATCTTCTTTTTCAGAAATAACGTTATTTTGTTGCCTCTATTTCAATTTATTCGATGGCACCGCTCCAACAGATACCTGTCTATGACAGACTGTTGTCAGAGGCCGTGGTCAACAGTTCTACTGTCCACTTGCAGTGTAGTTACACCGTTACATATATACGCTCTGAATCTGTTTACCTATTTTCTGAACGGAGTTAGGCTGGTGTCAGAGGCTATTCGTGGCGCGATTCGCACGACGGCTTGCGGACTTTGACACCTGCCCTGTCGTAGTTGTTTGAACCAGAATTCTGAATTGTCTTGTGGCATGCTTTACCTATCGAATTTGCGATAGTTGTTTGTTCCACCGTTAGGTTGCTCAGGGACTAACTGCACGAGATCTTTAGGCAGGCTCACGGTGAATGTCTATAGTTCGACGGATAAAATGGATTGTCTGTCGGAAATACACCTTTTTCCTGATTCCATGCATTTTACTGATATGGATATGTGGCCTGTTCGATCACCTGCTGGAAACGAGTTTCGATGAGTTTCAGTGGCCTCCGTATGACATTAATGTGTTAGTCGAGGTTAGTCTGTCATAATTATGTAGTTTTGCAGTTGAAGATGAGTTGCTCGTTTAGACTCGTCGGGCTTTACGTGGTAAACCTGCGAGAGTTGCAAGCGAGAATGATGTGAAATCGTTCCGCCACATTACGCTTCCTGAATGCCGATCACCGAGCAAAGCTCTGAAGTTGCTTATAGTAGTCAAGTCGTCTGTAGCCAATGTGAAGGTATGCTCTTTCATGTTGTTAATAACTTCCATAGTATAACTGATTTGTTTGCTTAATGAATGCGTTTCAAGTAAGGGGGTGGGTCGCTAAGGACATACGCGAATTTTTCGCTTTTTGCAGTACGAAGCTTATTTCGCTGCGGGAACTCCAGGTCCACTAATAGTCGGGGTATACCT